AATTTTTCTAATTTTTCTAATTTTTCTAATCTTTTATATTTTTTTTATTTTTCTAATTTTTTTAATTTTTAATTTTTTTCTAATCTTTTTAATATTTTTTATTTTTTTAATTTTTCTTATTACTTTTATTTTATTTATCTTATTTATCTTATTTATTTTATTTATTTTATTTATCTTATTTAGAATATTATAATAATATTTAAAAAGTATATAATTTAGAATACTTTAAGGCTAAATAGAATTCCTTATAGGTTTTTATAAGCCTTAAGATTACTACTTTATTAAGTTTTAGTTTTACTTTATAATACCTTACTTAAAGCTAGTTACTTTTTATTCTAGTATAAAGCTAATACTACTATAGTTCTATAAAAACTAGATAAGGAACTAAAGAATCTTTATATAATTAGGGGATAATAACTTATTACCCTTTTTAATACTATAAGTAAACTTCTTAAGAAGATTATAGTAAATAGAATTATAACTATAGTAGAGTTATACTAGCTTCTACCTAATAGTTAGATAAAGAATAGGTAAAAGAGGTTAATTAAGATTATTATTATTATAATTTTAAAAAGAATTAGATTAATATAGGCTTAAGATAATACTATATTACTATATAACTAGATATTATTAGTATTTTTAATAATATTAATTATAACCTTCTTATCTAGATATTCTAATAATAAGGTTTTCTAGCTAAGGTATTAGACTTAATATAGTTCTTTTTAGCTAATAAGTTATTAATATAAAGAATATAAAGAATATAAAGAGTATTATTTACTTAGGCTTTATAGTTAAGATAGTAAGTATATTATAGTATTTTACTATTAAGCTTTTATTTATTAGTAAGTTATAGGTAATTAAAGTAATTTCTATATATTCTTATTTCCTACTAATTACTTATTAACTTAAAAAGTAATATATAGTTTTACTTTTATAGCTTAAAATAGAGTTATTTTATTATAACTAAAAAAGATTATATTTAAAATCTTTAAATAGCTAATTAAGGTATTTATAAAAGATAATATTATTAATAATTATTATTTATTTATTAAATTACCTTAATTAAACCTTATAATTCTTTTAGTACCTTAATAAACTTATAAATACTAGAAAAACTATAATAATAAATTCCTTATACTAATACCTTACTATACTAAGTATAGACCTAAAGCTACTTAGGTAAAAACTAGCCTTTCCTATATATTAATTTACTATTATATAATAATTCTTAATAATAGTTAATAGTATTTAATATATTTTTAGTAAGTAGGTTTTTAGGCTATTACCTTAATCTATATTACTCTATATTTTTTATTATTTATTAACTATCTAGGTATATTAAATTACTTACTATTTATATATATATCTAAATAATAAAATAGTCTTTTATTATAATACTTATTTATAAGTATATATTATAGTATATATATAGTTTTTAGCTTTATTTTATTTATTAAGAGTTAAGATAATATAGTAGTTAGTATATATTACTTTCTAGCTTTTACCTTAGTTAACTTTATAGTTACCTTACCTATATTTCCTTATAAGTTAGTTATAAAGGTAGGTTATACTATTTTACTTTTAGAAAAATTATTTAAGGTACTTTTAGCTAGATTTAAACTAGTAATCTATATACTAATCTATATAGAACTATCTAGTATAGAACTACTATACTATAAAGGCTATTAATAACTATTAGTTTATTAGGTTTATTAGTATTTAAGATAATATAGTTAGTTTAGTTTTTTTTTTTAATTAAGATATATAAAATAGTTTTAAGAATTATTCTTAAAATATAATAAAAGGTCTTTTATTACTTATAACTATTTATAATTTATAAATAATTAAGATTAAGTTTATTTTTAAATTAGAATTTATAAGAAGTTATTAGTTTATTATTTTTTATTATTAGGATATATTATTAAAAAATAGTATAAACTTATATTATAACTAATTAAAGTTTAATTAGTATTTTTAATTAATATATATTAAGGTATATAAAATACTTAAATAAAAGAAGTAGAAAGTTTATTAAATATAAATTATAAATAGGAAAAGTAAATTAAGTAGGTAAAAAAAAAAGAAAGAAGAATTATAATATTAATAGCTATAAAGATTATATATAAATTATATAAAGGAATTACTATACTTTATAGCTAAAGACTTTAAAGATCTTTCTTTAGCTTTTTAATAACTACTAAATACTTTAATATAAGGCTAATATAGGTATTTTAAAGTATTTAAAAAGAGGTATTAAAGGTATTTTAAAGTATCTAGCTAATATATAACTCCCTTATAATTTATATTATAGTTATTCTTAGTAAGTAAAGGTAGGTTTATTATAATAGGAAAAATTAGGGTATTTTTATAGTATATATAATTATACCTTTATTCCTTATATCCCTTTATAAAGAATATATCTTAAATTTATATTTTTTTAAGTAAAAGTATTATAAAATAGGAAAAATTATATATATAAAATATATAAAAAACCTAGTTATATATAGGGATTTAAACCTATTATTATATAGTATTATATTATATATAGGGATTAAAACTTAAAATCTTTATAGTATATAGGAATTTTAACCTATTATAATATATAGGAAATTTAACCTATATTATAGTTATTAAAGTCTATTAGTATTATAATAAGAAAAACCTTTATTATTTAGGTAAAAAAACTTATTTATATATATATATATATATAAGGAAAAACTATTTATTTATATAGTTAATAAAACCTTA